CGATTTGGCGAGAGACATAGAAAGAGAGAGATAAAGAGAGATTGAGTTAGAAATGAAATTCGGTTTGAGCAATGGTGAACCAAGGTAGTCCTGAGGAGAGTTCGGAAGGTGGAAAGTACATCTCAAGAGAAGTGGGATCGAGATCGAAACGGAGACACGGATGGGGTTCTGATTGGATAGCGACAAAATAGAATTGGATAGGATATACATGTACTGGCTACGATATTGAATTGACTATGGGTGACCGGATGAATCTCTGTGAAATTTATTCAATCAATTCCTAACCTACGAAGATCGGAAAAACCACGAACGGATCAGGAAAGCAATGATTTTCTACCATGTACATGATTTCTACGCAAAACAAAGACTGATAAATCCTCACGTAGAAATTTAGACATTTATCACGGAATTTTTTATGATTTAAATCAGGAACGCAAGATTTCAACTGGTGAATTTTCAATACCGGCAATACCGTTAGCAATTTCACTTATTTTTTTGTGCTATTATGGATTCTGAATGAAATTAGTTTCGTGTTTTTTAATGATTAATAAATGAAACAACATAGGAAATGAAATATTGATCAGTCACAGTATAAAAAAAAAAATAACTAAAGTAATTTGTACATCACATATTCTTTTCAAAAATCTTCTATCTTCTTTGTTATTAAAATGTCCTTGCTAAAAATCATAGAACATAAAAAACATAAGAATGAAGTTTCAGGAAGTAATAAATAAATTAATAAATATATAGAAATATATGTATATAAATATGTATGTAATAACGGTAGAAAACCTCTATTATTTTCAAATGCTACGGAAAATTAAATAAGAAAGAATAAATAATCAACTGCGATTTGAGATAAGCTGCAATCATTCCTTGCTTGATTCCACTTGATCCGACTTGATCCGATGTAGTTCAATAAATTCCAAGGAAAAGAAACCGCAAAGAAAAAATTGTAGAATCCTTAAGGTTACAACATTAAATTATTATAAATTATTATAAATTATTATAAATTGCATTATATTATAAATTATAAGTAGAGTTTTTACTTATCTAGATTAATATCTACATTAACTTTATATTCTTATAGATTGTATAAAAACAAAGATGTTTTAGACATATATTTATCTATTGTATCTTGAAAGATTACATAATTTTTTCCTAAAAATAGATATTTATTATTCAAAAGTGAAGAATTATGTAAATTTATGTAATCCGATTATCTAAATGGTGCAATAAGTAGAAAATATGATCAACGCTCTCAACGGCATGTATTATTCAATTCGTTCAGCTTCGTTCAGGCGGTGTTATAATTAATTTAGCACGCTAATGACAAGCTTGCTTGTAATTGCAATATTTTGGGCTCAGATTCGATACATCTTCAGCTTTCCGTCCGTTGACAGCTTGTTTCTTTTCTATCTATATTTTTTTCTTAAGCTGCATCTAAAAAAATTAGAAAGAGCAACTTGTATTGTAATTATTAAATATAGCGATATAACCTACAAAACACATTAATTTTTTAATTCATTTCATTTTAATTCATTAAAAGTCAAATCAGGAAAATGTCCTGTTTTGATTCAAAATTCGAGTATATTAATATTTTTTAATCTGTCTACGTCACAAACGAATTTACGATTTAATAAGAAAAATAAATGTTGTCCTCAATAAAATTCTCTTCGATAAATAAAAACGATGTCTTAGGCTTATTTATTTCTTTTGTACTTACCTAGTATATTGTGAATTATAATATACTGTTGAATTACAAAGTATCACATCACTGCTGCGTAGAACACACAACGGTGAAGTACGACACTGATGCCTTTATTAGCTGGAATAAAATATATCTTGTATTGCAATTTCTTTGCCGCACATAACGCATAAATTTGTGTATCCACAATATGCTATACATATATTTGATATATATAGTAATTTTACCGAAGCGAAAAGCTCTAGAGACATAACAAAAACTCCGCCAAGATTCAAGCTGATAGCTTTGCTGCCCCTTTGTAAGAGAAACAATATCAATCTCTGTACATGCAAAGGTGTTACATACCATCGAACGTTATACCTGCGAAGTAGAATAGCTAGATAATGAATCAAAAATCGGAATAAATGTAATAATAAATGTAATAACAATAATAATTCGATATACAAGTATACTACTTTACAAAGTGTGTTAAAGTTCATTTTCAGTACATATAACAATTCGATAAAAGATTTATTAATACACTTTTATGGAGACAACGGTTTCTTTCTTACGCAGAAGAATATACGTTTTCATTATGATCCGTAACTTCTTGTCCAGCATAATTGGCTAAAAGCAAATATAGAAAAATAGTCAGTACAATCACCAAATGTACTAAACATTGATCAATATCATATCCAAGCGACGCAGTCACAGAAATCTAAAACATAACATTTTAATCAATGTTATGTGTTAATATTAATTAATTTTGAATAAATAAAATTATAAAAATTTTTCTCAATTTTGATATTGGAGATAATTTTCTTGTGAAAAGTCATGTTACACTACACATCAAATACATATAATAATGCAAAAAACTCACTCCGTAAAGATTGAGACTCAGACAAACTACACCAACAATTATTAAACAGAAATGCGAACCTTGAAAACTAGATAATAAAAATGTAGAGAACCTTAAGATAAAATTATTTATTTAAATTTATTATCTTTATTTTATGTTTATTAAAATCATTATTAAATTAATTTTATAAATTTTAATTAAATAATATAACTAACTATACTAACTTAATAGCTTTACGATGAATATCTATAGCATAAATCATTTCTCTATAAATTATAATCTCATCCTCAAAACTAATATTTTCCTGCATATTTATAGTTATTGCTTTCTCGATGCGGTAACTGTAAATAATTTTTTTATTATAAAAGAAATTATAAATTAATGCAATTATAAAGTTACTTTAAACAAAAGAAAAAATCTTGCTAACAGAATTATTTAATTTACTATTATAATAGAATATGTCAAATACAGAGAAAAAGTGTTTGTTGTATATAAAGAAAAAAATTATCAACATTATCTAAGTTATTAAAATTATTACATATGCTATTATAATTTGCAAATTATCTCATTAATAATCTAAATAAATTGATTTTTATTTTGCTATATACATATAGATATTTTTTCAATAATATATTGTAAATATAATAATAGGCCTATAATTATATTCCTGAAATAATTATATTCCTATAATTATATTCGAGAAACAAAATTTTTCCAACAGATTTTACTCGATATTGAATAGTTTATAATATAAAAGATTAAATCGTTTTTACGATAATAGTAACGATAATAGCAATAATAGTAACAATATTACGATCGCAAAATTCTTTTTTTTTTCTGTTTTAGATAACAACACATTTTGCTTATAAATCTCTATATTCATTCCAATTTGGGTATATTGATTTCTTTACCTGGCAATTTTAAATATTCCGCAAGCGTGTTTGAGATATGCTATAAGCATCATTCCTGTTGCTACCATTGTAGTTCCACCGATACAAACGGCTGCCTCTACATGCAGCATGATTAAATAGAAATAGTTGTCTTGGTTAAAAAAATATTTCGGCATAACGTTTTCTATCACAGCACGCATATCAGTCCCGTTTATGAAGAGAAAAATACCGAGAATGCGCGGTAACATTGGCATAGACATAATAGATAACTGATTGCTTATATGAAACACTAAAGATAAAAAAGCAATGATATTTAAATCATATTTAATCTAAAATTTATTGTTTTTAAAGACTGTTGTACGTTTCAAACTTATTTGTTTTTAATGTTTCTTCATCTGAAAATATTTAATAAATATATGAAATTTTGAAAGAGAAAGAGAGAGAGAGAGAGAGAGAGAGAAGATGTTCAAAATTTATTTAATTTCTCTTAAATAAAATTTTTTTACATAATTTTTTTGCAAGTTTGATTTGAATAAAATGTAAGAAAAAAGATCTATAATAAGATCCGTAATAAAAAAAAAGCATTTTTTTTATTACACTATTTTTTTTTATTGTTCTTTTCGTAATAAGGATATGAACGATATTAACTTTCCCCTTGTGCCAAAAAGCCTCGGTCTCCCTTAATCCTTTTTTCATCTCGTTTCTATTACAACATACACTAAATAGCTTACAGGTTATAATAGCTGTATAACGCTTCGCATTGTTTCCATATTCTTTTATAATTGCAATTTCATTTTCATCCTTTAACGTGGAATAAATATATTGAAGATATTCCAACGATCGCTTTACCTATCATGTCAACAATAGTTGTTATTTGTATTGTAATTTTCGAAATAACCAAAATTATAAAAGGACTATTTGATTAAGTGCATTTGATTAACTTACAGTCTCAAAATTAATCACGAACGAATTGTAATTAATCACATACATAACAAAAAATAATGCAATTGAGAGAACCTTAATGACAAGATCAGATGTGCATTCCACAGTTAAAAATACTCCAAGCTACAATCAAAATTGAAAAAATAAAAAAACCTTCACCTGCTAATTCGTTAACTAATTAGAAATATAGCACATTCAATTGCCTTCTATTAAGCGTAACAATATAACAAAAAATTTATAACGCAGTTATTACATTATTAACTGTGATGCTATTAAATAACTGTGATAGCCTTTCCAAGTGATAGATAAACTTGCACTATAATTTTATTTATTTCGCGGATTTCTATTGTATTGAAATCGCATCTTGTACATATATTATAATTCATGCACATGTAAAATATTTTTTTACATATTGATACTAATTAACCATTAATTTTTATTATTTCAAATGTGCACTAAACTTGATACTATTATTATAATTAAATTTTCAAAACTATAAATAATAGATATAGCATGGTTATTGAGCAAAAATGGATTAACAGATATAACATTTAAACATTTTTCATACTCAAAAGCTTTGCGTGAACAGATATCCATAAAAATCATAATTAAAAAAATAAACTTACCTGAAATATAACAGCACTAATCAAAATACCAAAAAACAAACATAAATGAAGCTGAACGAGTACTGATCGCTTATAAGGCCATAAGCCGATCGATAACAGAAGAATACGATTGAAGCTAAAATGCTGAGTAATACAGATCATTACTTCGTGAGAAACGATATGCATTTGATAGACACACAAAGAAGTCAACAAAGATATTTGCGTATTTCCTTCTTTTAAAATGTCAATAGAAATTTAAAACTTCCTTTCTTCAATATTAATTCAAAATTACTTAAAATTACTCAAAATTACTTCGACAAAAGTATAATATGAGATAATAAAAAAAAATATTATCATGAGGTCAGACTACGCAACATGATAACCCTTATAGGTAGAGTGAGCGATTAGACGATCGATTAATTTGACACCGAAGAAAATTCAACCGATATTTATTTCCCACAGAAAAACATTCGCACGATACTTTCATCAGAGTAATTTGCGCAAGCGCGTCTTTTTTTACGTGACAACCTTATGTGTTTATTCCTCGTGTACCTTCGCG